GAATTATTATATTATAGGCCACTGTGCCTGGCCTATAATATAATAATAAAGGCAAAGGCCTGAGTGTTAGCAAATACTGTTGCTCTCAGCCGGGATTTGTTTCTTCTTCACTTGGTCTGTTGCTCTTTACTGTGGTGAAACAGTTCTGTTGTGTTGATTAGGATCTTCACCAGCGTGCTTTCGTGCTTGCTTATCAGTCTCATGACACCAGAATGGATTGGATTATGTAGGGAAGAGCACATTGTGGGGTTCCAGCCTGCAGCCTCTGAGGCTGTCCTGTGGACCTGTTATTTAGCAGCTCCAGAGTGCTCCGGGCACCACATATATGAGTAGCTGACTCACGCAGGGTTGTGAAACATGTTCTCCTGGAGACTGGGCTCTGGTGCCTGGGAGGTGCTGCCCTTGGGCCAAGGAAGTCCCTGATGCACCAGGCCATCTTGTTTCCTTAGAAATGTGTGGTAGAGCCCATGGAGCTGATCACTCTATTTCCAGAGAAAGCTTTTCTAAGTGGAGCCTGATGTAGTTTTGTGTGGGCAGATTGCAAGGACCCACTGTGAACCCAAGGGCAAAAATAGCAGGTGAGGAAGGCAGGTGAGATCTTAAAGATCAGCTGTGCCTAGGCAGAGGGACAAGGAGGTTTGGGCTGGTTGTGGAGGTGGCAGGCTAAGGCTGGGGATCTGAGGTGTGGATAAGGGAAACAGGGGATCCTCCAGCTACCTCAAGAGGGTAGAAGAGTGTTCAATAAGAGAGGATGGCAAGTTTGTGTTTCCTGCTTTCTGTGACAGTTGAGGGTGGGGAACCCAACTGATTGATTCTTAGCAACTTAGGACTTGATTCTTAGCAACCTCAAACACTTCTTCATTTCGTGACTGATTTCCACCCCCCTTTGGTGTACAATTGAAGCTCTGGCTTTTAAAGAACAAAAGGAAGACCTCTAGGATAGTCTCCTGCTCCTGTGAAATCCATTAGACATGGATCACCTCATGGTTCTTTCTTCTCTACTCAGTAATGTTGGCGTGTCCACTGTGTGTAGCATACTGTGTTGGGGGAAGGTGTACAACAATAAACCAAATGGTGGTCCATTCTTTTGCAGTCTTTGGGAGAATGTAGACATTAAACAAATAATTATGCAAATAGTTTCGTTCATCAAATTACATGAAGTGCTTTGAAGAGAAATAGAGAGTACTATGAAAGTATGAAAAAAAAAAGGGGGTATCTAACTTAGTGAGAGGCAAGAGAAGCTTCCTTAGACAAGATCAAGCATGTTCAGGTTGGTGTGGCCGTAGAAGCTTCCTTTGGAGATGTGAAGAATGAGCAGGAGTTTGTCTTGCCAGGGCCCCGGAGGGAACAGAAATGGTAGGGGAAGTGCTCATGGAGGAAATTTGGTATATGTGGAGGCTCCTGGGAAGGTTGTAGGTTTGATGAAGTAAAAGAAGGAGAGTATATTAATGAGGATGGATTAAGCTGCCAGTTCCAGAAAACTCCAGATGACTTTGGACTTGAATAAGAGAAGAGTTCATATGTGTTTCATGTATAAAAAAGCAGTTCAGAGCCAGTCGATCTAGAAGTTCTATGTTCATCAAGTACTCAGGCACCTTCTTAGTGCTTTGGCCTCCTCAGCATATTTCTTCAATCTGATGGCCAAATGGCTGCTCTAGCACTACTGTCACATCGATATTCCAGTCATCAGGAAGGACAGAAGAATCCATCTCTTTCCCTTCACAAGGAAACTTCCTGGAAGTTCTCTGTGTCATCTCTGGCTGAATCTCAGCCAAAATTTCGTCACTTGGCAATACCTAGTTGAAAGTGGGGGCTGTCGCCTTATTCTAGCCTTAACTAACAGTTGGAGAAAAATGAAAATAATTGATATTGGGAGACAATGAACAGGTTTATGCCTCAACCAAAATGGCTAAGACACATTGAGCAAGTTCCAGAGTTTTGAGAGATGAGGCCCAACTAGGAGGCAAGGCCAGATCTGGAAGGACCCATGGTGAGATTTCTGGGTTTTGCCTGGAGAGCAGGGAGAGATCACTAAGTCCTTTTAAGCAGGGCAAAATCTGACTTACAGAGTTTATTTTCATTTTATCTTCTCTCTTAAGTTGTATTCACCCTGCCATTGGTACATTCTGTACTCTTTGCACATGGATCCAGTTATTTCTTTATGGTAAGTTCTCAGAGGGAAACTGTTGGGTCAAAGGATATGTACTTTTTTTTTTTAGACTTTTGATATTATCGAAAAGTTAGACCTGTTTGCTTTCTCAGAAGTGTATGTTTTCTGGGGCATTTTTGGCCTGATTTTTTAATAAGCATCCCTTCCCCCTCAACATTTTTGTGTGAAACATTTCAACATACAGAGATGTTGAAACCATTGTACCGTGAACATCCAGATTCCAGAATTAATGTTTTGCAATAGATTCTTTATCAAGCATCTATTCATCTATCAATCCGTCTTATTTTTTTAGGTGCATTTAAGAGTAAGTTATAGCCTCAGGATACTTTACCCCTGCATCTGTGATTCACTGAGCTTTTCTTCTTTTTCTTTAAGTTGGACTAATACTACCTCTTTATGGTGTGTTGGAAGGATACATAGCACCTGTCATTGCCCAGCATATAGTAAAAACTTATTAAATGGGAGAAGTTTCTTTATTGTTTTTACCAGAACAGTCTGACACTGTGTGTTGAACTGTTGAAGACAACTTTTCTTACATACTCTTACTGATAGTGATGGATAATTCCTGAAATTTTTGTTGAGGTTGTTGTCTTTTTGGCATGTGAATAACTGAATCACATGTTGTGTTATTTTTTTCTTTTTCAAATTTGGAGGGAAGACTTCAATAATAAACCTCAAAAACTCCAGTAGGCCAGATGATCAAGAGCACTCTATGCTGAGCGTGTCAGTCAACTGTCCATTGCTGCAACAAAATACCCGAGATAAACAACTCAAAAAAAGGAAAGTCTTATTTTGGCTCGTGATTTCAGCAGCTTCAGTCCATGGTGTCTTGGCACTAGCACTGTGGCCTGTGGCTACATAGAAAATTCTGGCAAAAGTGTGAGGCAAAGAATACTGCTCACCTCATAGCAGCTGGGAAACAAAAAGAGACAGGGAGGAAGGGTCCAGTGTTCCGGTATCCCCTTCAATGGCATGTCCCCAATGACCTAACTTCCTTCCACTAGGCTCTATATCCTAAAGGTTCCAGCACCTCCCTCTAGCTCCACAAGCTGGCAACCAAGACTTTAGCACATGGACCTTGGGGGACATTTAAGATCCAAACCATAACATTGAGTATATTTAAACACTGACCTCAGAAGGTCCTTATAAAGAAATGCTGTCTTACACTTAATCAGAGTATGCTCTGGGGCATTGCTTTCTCTCTCTTTTTTTCTGATCTTGAACTGACTTGTATTACCCACGGATAGAGCTCAGCCCAGAAAGAGGGGTTCTGCTCTTCCTGGACTCCAGCAGAACAGAGAGAAAATAGGCTCTGAGGCAAAGAATTCTTGCCTTCTTCATTAAGGGGGTTTTCCTCTTTGGGTTAGATCTTGCTCTCTGATTTGCTTCCTATTGAGTTTTTACTCTTGCTTTGTTGCAGCAATGAGTCCATATGGTGATTTTTTTTTTTTTTAAGGAGGACCCTGGTGGGCAGTGGTGGCATCAGAAGGAAGAAGACCAGTCAGGCAGATTGTAGCCCTTTTTGCAGATGTGTTTTGGGTCAAATGACAGACTAATAAGAGTTTTGTACACTCATACAAAAAATGAAACTTAAAAAACATTTGTATTTGTGTTTAACTTGTGGTTGTTGCAAATTCACTTCAGAGGGGTTCCCAGTGTGAGTAGCTCTGGCCAGTGTGTGTCCCCAGAATTGAGTAGGAACAGAAGACTTTCCCTAGTGTTTCAGAGTGTACCTAGAAACGTGCCTCCCGCCATTGCTGCCACAACATCTTCCTACCTCCTGCTTTCTGAGAAAGCAGCTGGGCACAGTCCAGCGATACGGAGTGGCAGTGATTATTTGAGAAGGCACATACTTCATTTCAGACCAGATTGCTATTATCAACCTAGATAATTTCTGTGAGTCCTGAAATAGATTTGGCCCACCCGGTGGAGTGTCTGCTTATGACATAGTCGTGAGGTACAGGAGTGGCTAGTTCTGAACTCCATTGCAGATTGGGGCTGCAATCCTAGAGAATACTTTTATTATTTAAAAGTCAGAAAGAGCTCGTTGGAATGCAAGCAAGTCTTTTTATATGGATTCTATTTGAAATGGAGCTGCGTGTTCAGGTTCCAGGCTCCTCAGTTATTGAATGGGGATAGTAGCAGCAAGCTCACAGAGGTGTGTGAACATGAAGCATTATAGGGATGAAGGGAAAATCCTCACTGTCCTCTGAAGGTTCTGGCACAAACTGACAAAGACAGACTAAAGAGGAGAAAAGGAATGCAAATTTATTATTTTATTCTATTTTACTTGCAGTACTGAAGAGTGGACCCAGGGGTGCCCTAGCCTTGAGCAATATCCCCAGTCACTTTTATTTTTTATTTCGAGATAGCTCTTGCTCAATTGGTCTCAAACTTTCTATTCTCCTGACTCAGCCTCCTTAGTTTCTGCAGTCACATACAAATTTATAAACCTGCAAAATGAAGTTGCTTCTAGGACTAAATGACGAAAAGGGCTAGTCTGTTCTTTTGAAATCCCAATCTCTTAAATTTCTTTTGGATGATTTTGATATATATTTGATTTTCTAAATTCCCTTTTAGACTCACTAGTTATCAATGTATTCCTCTGGATGAAGGACACCTTCTGTTTGATTTGTGTTGAATTCTTCTTCTCTTGAAAGAAAGTCAGAGATAAATGGAATAAATTGCTCAAAGTCTCATTTAGTTCTGGAGACAACTTACTTGCAAAGACTCCTCTAAAGGGTTGGCAGTGGTTTGATCATCCAGAAACACCCACTTTGAGGTAGACTTCATTGCTCTGAGTGGCTCATGTCTGTGATTCTGTCTGCAGGTCCAGAGCCTGGTACCCAGTGTGAGCTGTCTCCTGTCAATGCCTCCCATCCTGTCCAGGCCTTGATGGAGAGCTTCACGGTCCTGTCAGGCTGTGCCAGCAGAGGCACAACTGGGCTGCCACAGGAAGTGCACGTGTTGAACCTGCGCCCCACAGACCAGGGCCCAGGCCAGCCGCAGAGAGAGGTAGGTACTGGTGTCGGCTTTCAGCCACCCATCCACTGAGTCTGCAGAGATGCTTTTCTGAACATAGAGTCCTTTTCTTCTCTTCAACAAGGATGCTCATGTATGAACACAAGAGAGAGAATAGAACTTAGAATAACAGATGGCTCCCAGAGCTTAGAATAACAGATTGCTCCCTGGCCTAGTCAACTTTAAGCTTTCTCTCTCTCTAGGGATTGCTTGGCTGCCTCCTTCCCTGGCCCTCCATATCAGGAAGCATGTTTGTATGAATTTTCATCTTCTAAGCATGACTGTGAGGAAGCAAGGTGCCATTCTCTGTAATTTTAATATGTCTCCTCATTCTCACCAGTGGCCTCTCTTTCTTCTGTCCTTGCTTTGTCTTATGAACCTCTTCCAGAATGAGTCAGGGAAATGGGAACATTATGGAATAAAGCTGTCAGCACTTTGTGTTTCTGTGAAAAGGCCTGAGGGAAGTTTCTTATTACTGTCCACGCAGCTTTGCAAAGATGGTAGAGGCCTTGGCCTGGGTTGCGAGGGTGAGGATGAAGGTACAAGCCCAGTGCTAACAGTATTTGCTCTGTTCTCAGCACTGTTTGAGGCACTCATATGCTACTTCATGAAGCTCTATCATTTTACATGGGAATAAGCAGGTTCAGAGATAGCTCTCTAGCTCAGGGTCATCACCTTCAGAGAGAAACAGCCTCCACTTTCTCGTGACTCATGGTTGAGATCATGGGTGCAGGGTCATCATACTTTTTTAAGAGGATGGACTTCCCCCAGGACAACATGTTGTTGTTATTCTTTCTGTTTTTTAGCTTCTATGTCAGAGATGTTATCACTCAGGAATTATCTCTCCAAGGAGAATGAAACCACAGTAAATCCCGATCACAATGAAGCATAGGAAAACTAATGTGGAATGGAATTTATCTTTGAGCTTTCTCTTGGTCAAGAAAGTGAATTTCCAGAACCACTTGTCCATGTGCTTCAACCACCCTGTCCATTTGGGGGAGTAGGGACAGAAGAGGCATGAAGTATCTTGAAGGAAAAGCAAACTGATTCTAATCTCATGAAAGTGTGCAGAGAGTTGGCTCATTTTAAAGATGGATCGCCTAGCCTTTCCAGCTCCATTGGAAATTATTGTTAATACTCTTGGTTGCTTGCCATTGTTGCTGCAACACATATTTCAGGTCAGATTTCTTTATCCCAGTAATGTGTCTTTAATTCTTAACTTATGGGGGAGAGTTTGTGGTGGGAGGGGAAGGAAAGGAGGAAATGCAGCTCCTACCAGGCGTTGCTGACTCCAGCAGTTCTTCAGCAGCAGTAATTACTCATTTTATATATGCCTCTCTCGGAGGAATCGAGAAGGGAGAAAGTCCAAGCTGTTACAGAAGCAGCAACAGCCGAGAATTCTTGATGTTAAATTGTGCGGTACTGTTGTTGACTATGAAAATAGATTCAGCAAGACTACTGGAGCAAAAAGAAAAATACCTCAAGGAAGGACAGCAGAGTTCTCCCACACTTTTACTTACTATGTTAGGTCAAAATGGAATTCATTTTAGGACATGGCAGGGCTGTAAAATTAGGTGGCATCAAGGGACATAGTACATTCGGTGTGAAAAGAAAGAGGGACTACGTAAGATAATTCCAAACTTGTTTGAAAACTGCATCTTGTGCTCCTTCAATATTTGTAGAGCATGTGTATGATTTGGGGCTAGTTATTTGAAGACATTTCTGCCAGGAGGTAACCAAGGGAAATTACATTATTTCCTTCTTTGGGGACTTTTAAGGATTAGATGGTTATTAGTTCAATTCTGTTTGAAAACATGATGCTGGGATAACTGATAGTTGGAATTTCCATCAGGCTCCAAGGTGCTGTCATTTCAAAGCCTTCCAGGTATTTTGTGTATACAGAGTGAATATAGAGGACAACATCGGGCAGAGAATGAACGAATTTGTTGGGGGGTGGCAGAATGCCGGTGGAGAAGTATTAAATACTGCTTGTTCCCTTCAGACATTACTATGGAGAGAAATTACTACAGTTGTGCAAACAGTTTTGGAAAAAGATCTTTTGAGCCATGTAACCTAGCAGTTCTATTCCTAGGTTATATATCTAGTAGAAATGAAAACAGGTCCCCACAGAAACTTGCCCATGAATGTTCATGTTAGCATTATACATGATACTCAAAAGATGGAAACAACTCGAATGTTCATCATTTGATGAATGGATAGATAAAATGTATATTTATAGAAAGGAATGCAGTACTGACATATGCTGTAACACGGATGAACCTTTAAAATATTATGCTAACTGAAAGAAGAGAGACAACAAACCCTGAATTATATAATTCAATTTTTGTAAAATTTCCAGAATATACAAATGTATAGAGTCAGAAAGTTAAATGAATGTGTGTTTAGGATAGATGGGCAAAGGAGGAAATGGAGGTTGACTTACTAATGATTATGGTTTTTTTGGAGGGTGGGGGGTGCTTAAAATGTCTTAACATTCAATGGGATGATGGTTGCACAACCTGAAAATATAATAAAAACTGTTGAATTATATTTTAAAGGGTGAATTTGATGGTATGTGAATTTTATCCCAATAAAGCTATTTAAAAAAAAATCATTCAACCTGCCAACGTGTTCTAATTAGCCCATAAAATGTGCCCTGGCTCACTTCACTTTTTTTTTATACTCAAATTGCTTCCTCCTCCAACCTAAACTCACACAATTCTTTTTGCTATTCTCAATGGATACCTTTTTTATAGATATGCTATAATACGGGCTGTGCAAAAACTAACAGCTGATTTGTTTGGGAGCAATAGTAGGAGGACCAGAGGCAGCCTTTGTTTAAGGCAAATAATTTTGAAGATGAAATAAGTGCTGTTGCTTGCAATGTAGCAAAATTATTGTGTTGGTTCCAGACCTCAATTGAGAATGACTGACGACTGCAGTAGTTGTTTTTCACAGCGTCATCTTTGAATGTGAGGGAATTACTAAACCAACCCCATTTCCCCTGAGTTTGTGAGTGGTGCGGGATTATCATGAAGATCCAGGATAAATCATGCCTTCTCTAACATTTTACTAAACTCGTACTTCCCAGGTGCCTTAAGGTCCTTCAGCTGAGAATTTTTTTCTTATTTTCCGGAGTAGAGGAAGTGACAGAGCCTAGAACTAGAAGTAGTAAACACAGCCGGTTGACAAGGTTTGGGGAGGCCGTTATGCTCAAACAAAACTGGATGAACAATTGTATTAGCCAGCAGAGGGTTTGTATCAGAAACACACTTATTACAGCAATGTCAGAAGGCCCCCCTCCTTTCCTATTGGCCTTCCTGCTGGGTTCTTTCAGGACAGGGAGACCTGTAGTTGTATTTTTCTTCTGAGACCACACCTCTCATTTGTAATCATTGGTTTTGGAAACAACAGCCCTGGCAGTGACAGGAAACTGGAAAAAGACTCTCTGGCAACTGAGGAGGGCAGAAGAGGATAAACAGCCCTGAGAGATTGGATTTGTCTTTTAGAATAAGTAAAGACCTGTGTCATTTCTCACTGCTGCACAAACCAGCTCCTTGGGCCCTTTAACTGAAGAAAGTACACCCAGTCCCCTCTGTGAGCCTCCAGAGTGTGGAGTGTGGTGCCTCGGTGCCTCAGTGCCTTGGGTGCTTCTTGGTTCCTGAGGACAACTGTGCACCATCAGAGGCTTGTTTACAATAGCATGCTTTCATTTAGTTGCTGGAATGGCAACAGTTTTGTTTTCCTATCATCTAATTTTTACTTGTGATCTGCTTTTATGTGGTCATGCGAGTCTTTTCTACTTCCAACCTAATTGCTTGCTTCTTATGAAGAGCTGTTGAGAGTAAGCCCATAGTTAGCTACGGCACATGAATTTAAAAGATACAGGCATTGGCATTTACGTATTTTTTCTGACATTAATGGAGGGACTATTAATGGGTGTGCCAGTGCCTGGCTGTAGGGGTGGAGTAAGGATCAGGAAACTCTCTTGACATAGGAAAAGAGCCAGATTTAATAACTTCACCCATCAGAAAGCACGTAACTCCATAATTTTATATATTTGCTTCTCTGTCTCATTCCAAAAGAGGATTTGGGATGGGCTTCCAACAAGAGACATACCAACAATGTAAGCAGAAGTACAAAATGAGAATAAAGAGAAAAAAAAAAAAAGAAGAGTGAGGCTTGTTGGCTGTGTGGGTTCATATGGTTGCTATGATTGAGTTTGAAATTTGGCTCTAAGCTTCTTGGCAGGCATGGCCAAATGGGATGTGTGGTTAATCACACATGTGGCTCCAAATTGCTTTTACTTTATACCTTCTCTGAGGACTGTGGCATGAACTTGTCCCTTTCTTGGTTCTTTTGGGGGCAAGAAAACCCACAGTTAGAAGAAAGAGAAGGAAGTAAACACATCTGAAATGCTAACTGTTCTGCTTTCCTCTTAATAGCTCCCTTATCCTACAAATAACAGTACCAGCAACTAGTGGTAGCAGTTGGTGCCTGCTGTGGGCCAGCCTTGTGCGTGAAGGGTACAAGCTCTGCCAGTCCCTAGCAGCCTGAAGACGTTTGGGTTTGGGGAGGTTAGACAAGCAGATGATGAGTTGTGGAGCTGCCTCTGAGCAGTGTTGATACTATAGCTCAAGCTTTTCCCACACTTTTGAGATGGCCTCTCTTGTACATTCATCTTTTACCTTGTTCTGTCCTGCAAACTCTGCTAACCAGGCCTGTGGGCTCTATCAGTTGGCTGAGCCGGCACGTGTCCCAGGCAGGGTTTGGGTTTTGTGCATAGGTTTTCCAATCGTTGGGGTACTTTCTTATTTCCTTGGTGTTTTAGGGACGATATTAAGGTTGATATGTGTGTGGCAGTGTTTCTTTTTTTCTTTTTCACGGTTTAGGATTATCATACCGAACGTCAGTAATTATAAAAGCAGGGCTGAGCTCAGGAGCCATTGTGCTCTGTGGGGTTGTTAATCCCCACACTAAATGTCACTGCCAAG